CACATTATAATGCAAGTGCAATACACAAAGAATCTTATCCCCGGGAGATTTGAATTGGGTACAACATTGAGTTAACCGAATAGGTCTATGCCAAAAATAGCGTCGGTTAGATCTTTTTTGGGCGTCGCAGGAAAATCAAGCTGCACCGAAAATGATTACTCACTTGTACAAAGTTGTATGTTTTTTTTTCCTACAAGGAAACTTTCATTCCGTATTCGGAGATTTTTTATTTTGCTGCCCTAAACAAGTTAGTTTATTTAATGGAATGACAGTATTGTAACAGAAAATATACTTTCCATGTCCGGTTGATAAAATGGTGAACACATCCTTTCGACTCAACGCAGCGAACAAAGCTTTCTTTTGTTGCTCAGTGAGACTCGGGAAAGCGCTCATTAAGTACCGAGGTCAAAATTTCTTCGAATATTCTTGCAGGAACAACATCCATGGCGTGCCTCTACGTGCCTTGGTCCCGTGCAAATGTTATTGCGAGTGAAGCATACAAACAATTTTCTTCCCTAGTAGGGAGAGGCAAAATGAGGTGTGAAAATCCTCAGCGTCCCCTCGGTAGTTACAATTAAACGAGCAAATCAAATTGGTTTGCGCGTTTGAAAAAATATCAACCAATCAACGCCCGAGGGTCAGATCCTGACCCTGTCGTCTGCATGGAAGTGAGATTCGAGGTCAAGGTAACCAGAGGTTTTTCTGTCTCTCCTCGTCGCTTTCGCGACTCGTTGTCGCCGCTTCGCGGTTTGCTCTTGATCTCTTTCGCGAAGAAAAATCAAGAAAAACCTCTGGGACCAGGGTAGTGGTATATAAGACGAAAGGCTGATTTGTATATCACAACTTGTGTAAACCTGTTTAAGGTAATGTTTACAGTCAAACCAGGTCAAGCGTTCCCGTCGCTAACAAACTAATGAATTCATTAATAGAAAAATGATTTCGTTTGTTGATTCAATACTCCATTCATAAAATGAATAATCCAACGGTCAAATTGTACCTCGATTCAATAATCAAATGTTGATTTGGTTTATGAACAAAATCTACCTGTTCTTTATTCTTGTCTGTTGTGTTCAACCGTATTTGCTTCCCTTTTCCTGCCGTTTACGATTGCGTTTTTCATTGCCTTTAATCAAAATAACAGCTAGAATAGACAGACCGCAAACGCAAAGAAACTGACAAAGGCCGAGGATCGAAATCCACCAATCACCGCACATACACTGACCTCAGTTTGACCGTCGCGTTTTCTAAGAGGTCAGGCCTAGGTCTGTTGCACTGATTATTGGCAGCAAACTGGCGTACATGTAACAGTTTGTTTGGGTTTGAACTTCAGAACTCGCCAGCACTCGACTCAGAAAAAAAAGAGGAAAAAACACAATTCTGAGGTCAACTTGTCGAAAGTGTAATTTTTCAAAAAACAGTAATCGAATCAACATTCGATTATGGAATCGAGGCTAAATATGACTATTGAATTGTTCATTTTATGAATGGATTATTGAATCAACAAACGAAATCATTTTTCCGTGAATGAATTCTTTAGTTCGTTAGCGACGGGAACGCTTGACCTGGTTTGACTGTAAATACAAGAAACGATTTGCGACGACGATTTTTAAGAGCAACAATGTTGGAACAATGTTAAAACAAATCGAAACAATATCAGGCTTCTTTACGAAATTGCATAAATTGCGTTCACTGCGACGATCATTTCTTCATTTTCATTTCATTTCCGCAGTTCATATATGATTTATTTCATATATCATTAACACTCATTTCTTTCACGGAAACATTTGAACCCACAATTGACCTGCTCCCAACGTCAGTGGCTTCATAGCTTAGTTGGTAGAGCATCGCAACAGTAAATCGCGAGGTCACGGGTTCAAACCCCGTTAAAGTCCTGATTTTTTTTTCAGGCTTCTTTACGCAAATGCATAAATTGCGTTCACTGCGACGATCATTTCTTCATTTTCATAATGTCGTTAAACTTATATAAAGATGCAACACTGTGTTCTCTGAAAATCGTTGTTGCAAATCTTCTCATGTAACATCGCCCTCAAACTTTTATATTTGGCAAACTAATTTGGCAAGATGGGTAATATTTTCCAGGTTCCAATTATAGCTCGGGCTGTGTCATTCACAACAATTGGGGTTATAAATTAATCAGATGAGTTGCGTATAGCTTTTTCGTCCAGATCACTGATTTATATTGTATGCTTTATTTCTAGAAATGAAAGAGTTTCGTCAAGATTCCCAGGCTGTCGTTATTGGCAAGAAAATTTACGTCATCGGAGGCCGAGACTATAAGGGAGAGAGGGTTCTAGATTCCATGGAGTGCTTTGATGTACCAAAGGGGGAGTGGGAACGAGTTACGACTGTGCCATTAGCAAGAGAAGGCTTTCGTTGTGTTTCTTGTAAAATAAGTCGAAATCACCTCCTTCCGATAAAGCTCAGATAACCTTTATTGACGTTTTTTCTCACATCCCTCACAATTTCTGTATGAGCTGTAATAGAAACAGGCTAGGGTAGCCATTGCTAGGCTTTATCCTGACAGTTCAAGAAACCAAAATAGATCGAACATATCCAAATTCTATCAATTTCAGCTTGACGGATACAATTTATTCAGGGGAGACAGGGTTTAAGGGGCCGACCATTTGACTTTTGAGGGGAGGTATGGGTGATTTGTGAAAAAAATATCCTGCAGATCAGACTTGATTTCGAGGGCAAAAATTCTTGCAAGGTGGCGGCGGAATAGCTGTATTTGTCCGGGACAACATATCATCATTGCAGTGCGCAGCAAAAAATCTGGACATCTGTGTATTTCCCTATATCTTATTATAACTCTATGATCAATGGGGTTGATTATATGAGCCAGGATGGCTCGCCTTTTCACCATCTCGGCACGCTAATTAAAAGCAACAAGAACCAGTCTTGTGATCACATGGCAACCCATCGAGCCCATCCTGGTGGCGTAATACCGCGATAATAGTCACCTTACTAAGATGGCTGTAAGGGACTCTTTCATGAAATTATTAAAATTCAAACATTAATGGCTGCCGGGCCAATTTGAGTAAAACATGAAAATAGCCACTCAAAACATCATAGAAGAAGGTATAAATAACACAGGAAAAAAATACAAATTGAAGGCACGGTGTGACGGAAGGTTTTTCCACTTTCGAACGATTTTAACACTCTCGACACTTAAACTATCGGTTAACTGGGGAAAACTAGACTCAACTGCAACTCGCTTGCGGGAAAGAGCCGTCACTTCTCTTGAGGTTCGGGATCAAACCACTAACTGGTACAGCAAAGGCAAACTGAACTTTGGTTCCAACAGCGTTTATTCTTGTACACGTAGCGTAACTTAGCTCACAAATGTAATCGGCGATGTAATGGAAAAATCTGTTCAAAGCAACTTACTTATATATGATTTTTACAACCATTGAAGACAAAAGAATACAATAGAAATATAAACAGAAATCACTTAGAGTTAAATGAAAACTAAAGACAAATTCTATTTTTAACCTGAAATCTTTTGTTACTGTTGCTATTTTAGGGCCTGTTTACATGAAGGCGGGGGACCCCAAGTAGGAGCGGCAATATGTGGCGGGTTACCCCACCTAACATGTAAACGTGATCACATTAAAATGAGAGATTGTATGGACAGGCTGGTTACTCCACCTAAGCGGGTTACCTCACCTACCTCCATGTAAACAGGCCCTTAGAAAGTAAAAGTACTAAGACAAAGACCTAGCCGCGGGTCAGCAAAACAGCGTTTATGTACAAAGTGTTACAATATGAATTAAATTGCAAGTTCAGCTATCGGTTTTTTAAACAGGAAAAGCACAGGCTAATTGGAAGCTTTCACCTTAAACAAAAACCGATCCTAATTTTAAAATTGCAAGACCACAAGTTTCATATTCAAAATTCGGTTATTACCTCTGTTTCACTAACAACTTAATGAAATATATTTTTGCAAATAAATATAACTAAATCGCAATTAAAACGAGATGCACCTGCACGAAAGGCGTTACTATGAATAAATGTCGTCCGGTAGTAAAATCACGAAAAATAGACTGAAGTCAAATAAACCATTACTAAGAAATTAAGTATTCTTTCAAGAGTCATCATTGACGTAAAATGTATGTAACTGAAAAGAGAACGAGCAATTAGTTTTGTTTGTTAAGGAACACTGTTGGCTTTTCTATGATTATTACCTAGCGAACACAAAGCAAATGAAACAAAAGATAATGAAAACGGCACGAGCCTTTTTGCGGAGCTAAAACCTTTTTATGCAAATTCAGTATGAATTACTGAGAACAACGTCAAAGCGAACATTTGAAAGCTATATATGAAATTCGAGGCAAATAAAGAATTCATGGAAAATCTCTCCTTACAACGGATGGACAAACTTTGAGAAAGACTAAGAACATTGTGCTTCAGTAATTTTATCAGCCTAAGAGTTTTTGGAGGCGTGTGTGGCCGAACTGATAACACCTCGAACACCGGATCTCAAGCCTCGCCCGTCCCGTTGTTTGCGATTCTTAGCTAAGACAGGGACCTTTACTCCACTTTGTCTCTCTTTACCAATGTGTATAAATTAAATGGGTACCGGCGACATACTGCTGGGGGGTAACACTGCGATGGACAAGCATCCCATTCAGGGGTGATAGCATTATTCCTAGGCATGCTTCATTCTAAGGAAACCTGGATAAGCTCCGGCCGTTTTGACCTTTGGCTTGTGTGCGCCTTTACCTTTCCTTTTTTAAACAGTTTTCAAAGTTCATCTTAGTAGTTTGTAACGTTTGATATAATGCTTGGGAGACATCTTTTATTGACACAAAGCTATGATTTTGTCATTCACAAGTATTTAAAATTTCTAAAGTTCCATACTAATAAGGGCGCGTAATTGGCATTCGCTGATATAAACAAAATGAACTAAGCCCGGAACACCGGGGTTAGCCTGACTCATAAAATGAGCACCTGTACTCTGTAAGTTAAGTTTTCACTTATGGTGCAGCACAGCCATACAGTTCAACTCGCATGGATGCACGGCTATGCCACGTCATGGCAACAAATCGCACGTATCTTGCCCGGAACCTTGGAGTTAGTGCGTGGGACACGATGGTTTGACGGTCAGAATTTGCCGCGAAAACCTGAAAAAAAAAAAAAATAATAATAATAAATTAAAATAATAACATATGTCGATCGGCAAAAAAAGTAGTACAATTAACCCCGAAACGTCTAGTAGATTGTTCAAAATTTATGATAAATAATTAGCAGCGGATGCATTTTCTTAACACCCAAACAATCAAGAAAAGCCGTGTGAAACAATGGACAGAAAATTTGAATTTACACCCTCAATTTATTACCGTTAGTTTTGTTGATAATACGGTAACTGAGCTTCCTGATATCCACCTTTTCACTAGATCGAGCCGTTGATGGCAACTACAATCATTGTGTTAGATTATTTTCCAACTAGATCAAGAAAATACGAAATTTGTGAGATTTTCGACTCGCAAGTTTTTGCTTGTTCGTAGAACCTTGTCAGTAGCCATCCTTCTGCTATTGACTTTGCTTGTGGCCTCGACCATCCCAGTATTAGAATCGTGTTAAGAAATAAAATCACGATCACATACCTTTACAGCATTATTTTCCTTGTATGACTCCCATTTGACGCTGTCCGAACTGAACAAAATGTTGTAGGACTTCACCCATTGATTCACGGAAGGCCTCCCCTGTGTGGACAGGTTTGTTAGCAGCCTTTCCTCCCCGAGATCAACTTGTAACCACTCGCCGGTTTTATTAAATTTTGCTGACCAGGAGCCCGTGCTGCCACGTTTTGGAACATTATTGAGCCGGGCAAGCCAAGGGTCGTGCCCAGGGTGCTTCGTCCAAAAAGAGGACGCTGTAATGGCTGAATTCGGCAATGCTTTACTTTCCATCCCAAGTGCATGGATACTGCATACTGTGAAAAGGAAGAAAAAAGAAAACAGGTTTAAAATCCTTTTAGAAGCCAGGAGCCCATTTGATGGGCTCCCGTAAAAGCTAATTATATTTGATTGCTTTACTTTTACTAATACGTAACAAGGAAGGTCAAAGTAAGATGAAGTAATCCCCCAACTCACCTTCGCACTTCGATAGAAAGCAAAACAAACTTCTGCCGCAGTCTGAGTCGTTTCTGCAGGTGAGAGGTCTAACAGTATTCTCCATGTAGTTTGTAAATGGAACTTGTCTCATATCTTCAGGATGGGAAGCGTGCGTTTTATCATTCAGTTCACACCATTTGCTTATCCGATAAAAGTTACTGCTATGGCAACCGGGACGTTCGATGCACCGGGAGATGCAGTGTTCAATCAGCTCTGCAGGCCCGGCCTTGACGACGTGGTTTATAAGCACGTGATCTTGTATGGAGTAAGATGCTGCCTTACACTGACTCGCGATGGTCATCTTGAAGAACCAGCAAATGAATGCGTGTAGAAGTATTATACAGGTGAACTTCATTAGTCCTGACAAAATTCATAAACAATGTTATCATTGCATTCTCAGGTCTTTTCATTAAAGCGTGCAAACGAAGACCGTTTGATGAATAATGAATTAATCAAAGACATATAGACCAGTTAAGCGCCTGAAAACATTCAGAAGTTGGTTTCCGGAGAGCTCAGTAAATTTTCATCTTCGTTTTTCATTCAAAATCACAAACTCCAAGTATGGTATTTAAACGTTGTTTGTACTCTGGTCAAACCTTTTTCTTGTTTCTACATTCAACGGTATGGCTAAGAGTTTAGGAAACAAATGGGACAGCTTTTATCATTAAAAATTGCGCATGCTCTACGGTCTTTTAACACACTGCCGGGCGATTCATTGAAGTCCACGGCCATAATCCATTCCCGTATTTAAAGAATGGTCCCTTTTTAGTGCTACTGTGTAATTCCACTAAATGTCAGGTCTCTGTAGTGTTTTCGTCATCGGGCAGGCCTAAGATGAAAACGGTTGACAGTGTTCTTGGCTGCATCTTTTCTTCTAGAATAGTCGCAATCAGGAGACTGCAGCTGTCGCAACATAGTGGGACTTTTATGATCACATATGATCCATATAAACGAAAGATGCTTGTATTAAATATCAGCATTAAAAAAAGTGAATCAACAACTGCTGGGAAATAAAGGCTACAGACTATTGTAATCTAAGGGGTCAAAATTTCGTAAACTTCTTTTAAAATCCTTTAACGTACGTTCTCTAAGCTCCACCCTTCAAAAAACATTTTCAGACTCGGCCACTTAAAAAAAATTATATTATAGCTCGGTTTTTTAGGGTACCTTTTTCTTTTCACTTGAACGAGCGGCGTTTTTAGGTCCGGATGGCGGTAAGGAAAATCTGTATCGGAACTTCCTTCAAATTAGTAAAAACGTGCGCTAAAACATGAACATTGACACTACTAGTTAGATATATATTACTCGTACCTTGCATCTAGGCATTTGGTCAGAGACTGATCATACGTGCAATTTCACACACACACAAAAAAATGCTCAGTTTGGATAAAGCAAATTTCTTAACCTGTAGTTCTTTGCAGACTTAGAAGATCTGCTAGAAGGTATAGTAATTAAAATGAGGTCTAACTTACCAGAAACGGAATGCTGCAGGCTTTTGAACTTGTCAGTTTGTAAAGCAAACTTGTTTTGGACGCTTTTAGTTCTGACAATATATTTTTATTAGTTATTAGCAAGACAATGATCTTTTGAAATGGAAATTTTTGACGTCTTTTTTCAACATAAATTGCGTTTTCTTTTTGTCTGTCGCTGTTGGGCGGTTCAGTGTGGGTGGAATGGGTTAAGGAATGGTTTTTTTTAGAGATTTTATTTTTCTCTCTTTATTCTCCTTGTCTCTCTTTTCGTGCTCGTCTTCTCCTTACCCTTCGCGATTATTGTTCTCCTTGGCGCTGCCAAACATCTTATACAGTCTTCTATATAGTACGTAATGTTGTGAGTCACAATGGTGTGGTTTTATCGTTTCTCTCCTTAACCGTTTAATATATCCCCATCCAATAAGGTGTAATCTGAGATTCGATGCCTTAATTCTCCCACGCAAAAATAGTTTGCCTACGTTTTACCGCAAAAACCATTTTCAAGAATGCCTCCATGAACACCTGCTAGAAAAGTATCGACTTTCGCTAATCGGCTTTAGAAGAGACCAACGGGTAGCCGATTATCTGACGAATTCTGCAGTCTCTAACGTATGTACTGTCTCTTAATAATAGATGGCGGATAGAGAGCTGGCGTCTTGCAGGTCGATCAAAAGCAAAAGAATGATAATTTCTTCAAGAAATCTTTTCAGTCGGATGCCTGAGGAAGAGTTAGATGAAGTAATTAATTGATGCTAAAAAAGGCAAAGCGGCCACAAACTTGAAATACGCAATAAACATTTTAAATGGAAGAAGCCTGAAGCACACATTTAATTGTTCGCCACATTTGTGACAAACAAAGAACGATTTAATGAATTCAAGTTGAAAAAGGCTTCAAAATCTGGTATAGATTAGAAACAAAGCATGCTAGTTAGGTTCTCCTAAAACAATAAGGCTACTCGTTCTTGTCGCCCCTATGTGAGGGAATCCGGAAAATGTTTGTTTGTGAAATCCGCAATCCGGGAAACTTTTTCTCTTGGAACACAAAATCTTGGGCTTTGGATTCCGGAATACAGCGCTAGGAACCCGAAATCCCACTAATGAGTGGAATCCGGAATCCAAGTTCCACTGACAAAGATCTTGAATCCAGTATCTAAACTGAAAATCCGGAATCCATGGTGTGCAATCCAGCATCCAAGACAGTCTTGAATTCCCTCGTATGGGGCCGATTCTAATTTTTTCTAAGAGTGAAATAGTCGACCCTTCTCTGGTTTGCACTCAGAACAATTTGTGACTGTTCCCGCGTGGTGACGTTCAAATAATTTTTAGTGTCAATTAGCCCCAGGACAAAATGTTTAAGTATATATTGCCCATGTAAGAGAATCCAAGAACGTTCTGGATTCTGGATTCCACGCCCTCCCATTGTTGAACATTGTACCAAAATGAAAATATTTTGTCTTGAAAAGGGTCATGATTTGAAGGCTCCGTTCAGCACCACCTTATCACGTCTTCCAATGGAAGTGCACTTTCTGCTGGCTGCGAGGTCTTTCCTCTACCCGATCATAAGAGGCTAGAGCACAGGGCCAAGTTGTTCGAAGGCTGATTAGCGCTAACCCGGGGTTAAATTTTAATCCGAGTTTCTTTTTCTTTTGTTTAAAAGCATTTCCTTGGATAATTTTTGCCATTCTCTTTCAGTATCCAGTCATCAAATTGTAGACGAAAAGAATGAAAATGAATTTGTTTTTGTAAGCTTTTATAACTGAGTTCAAACTTCGCATTAACCCTGGTTTATCTTAACCAATTGCAGCTTTGAACAACTCGGCCCTGATTGCTGAGGCGTAAGCGTTAAGTTTTATCCGGTTAACCAAAAACAAACTACAACAGCAAATTTCTTGCTACGGAAACACACGTTTACGTCACTGGTGGAGAAGGCCAGGGTATAGAGCCGGAAGTCAGCATGGAGCGATATGATCCAGAGGTAGACCTCTGGAGCTTTGTATTACCGATGAATTGTGGAAAAGTTGGTGCATGCGCTGTACAACTGGAGGGAAAAATTTACGTCATAGGCGGAAATAATGGATACAATACACTCCGGCAGTGTGAGGTTTCCGATGTACAAACCCACGAATGGAGCTTGGTTAAAGGTATTTTAAAAAATGACATGTTTTTTTTTTATTAGGCTTATACTGAGTAATTACTGAGTAATCATTTGAGTCATGGAGTGTACTGACGAGTAAAGCAGTTCATTTAAACATATTAGAAACCTTTAGATTGCACTACGAGGACGAGATTTTTAGAGTCTTTTTGCTTATTCTCAAAAATATACACCCCGGACTAAGCTTTGGTTTGCTTTTTCACCAGAAAGATCAAAAGGTTATTTTTCATTGAAGGAGGTTAATCCGCCTTCTCTCTATTGCAAAATGACAAAACATATCACTTTAATTTGGACAACATTTTCCGGTTACTTGAACAATTTCACTGGAACCTGTAGAAGAATGACAACAGTAAAAGCGCGCGCTCAACTTAGAATTAAAATCTCATTCTCGTTGTCGTACTCGTCTCAGAATCTAAAGATGGCTTTTGTTCTGGCTAGCGACCGCTCAGTATTTCCTGCGGTCGCTGAGGAATATTAGGTAAAGCAGAAAGTGAAATGGATGGGGTGGTATATAAGACGAAAGGCTGATTTGCATATCACCACTTCTGTAAACCTGTTTAAGGTAATGTTTAAATACAAGAAACGATTTGCGACGACGGTTTTTAAGAGCAAGGATGTTGGAACAATGTTAAAACAAATCGAAACAATATTGTTAAACTTATAAAGATGCAACACTGTGTTGCTCTGAAAATCGTCCCGTGTAACATCGCCCTCAAACTTTTATCTTTGGCAAACTAATTTGGCAAGATGGGTAATATTTTCCAGGTTCCAATTATAGCTCGGGCTGTGTCATTCACAACAATTGGGGTTATAAATTAATCAGATGAGTTGCGTATAGCTTTTTCGTCCAGATCACTGATTTATATTGTATACTTTATTTCTAGAAATGGAAGAGTTTCGTCAAGATGCCCAGGCCGTCGTTATTGGCAAGAAAATTTACGTCATCGGCGGCCGAGACTATAAGGGAGAGAGGGTTCTAGATTCCATGGAGTGCTTTGAAGTATCAGAGGGAGAGTGGGAACGAGTTACGACTTTGCCACTAGCAAGAGAAGGCTTTCGATGTGTTTCTTGTAAAATAAGTCGAAATCACCTCCTTCCGATAAAGTTCAGATAACCTTTATTCACGTTTTTCCTCTCATCCTTTCCAATTTCTATTTGAGCTGTGATAGAAACAGGGTAGCCATTGCTAGGCTTTATCCTGACAGTTCAAGAAACCAAAATAGATCGAACATATCCAAATTCTATCAATTTCAGGTTGACGGATACAATTTATTCAGGGGAGACAGGGTTTAAGGGGCCGACCATTTGACTTTTGAGGGAAGGTATGGGTGATTTGTTAAAAAAAGTATCCTGCAGATCAGACTTGATTTCGAGGGGAAAAAAATTCTTGCAAGGTGGCGGCGGAATAGCTGCATTTGTCGGGGACAACATATCCTTGCAGTGGGCAGGAAAAAATCTGGACATCTGTGTATTTCCCTATATCTTATTATAACTCTATGATCAATGGGCTGATTATATAAGCCAGGATGGCTCGCCTTTCCACGAACCCCGCACGCTAATTAAAAGCAACAAAACCAACCTCGTCCCCAGGGCGCTTTTCCCTGGCTTTGGGGGCGGGGCGGGAATAGGCAGGGAAAAGCGCCCTGGGGACGAGGTTGGCAACAAAACCAGTCTTGTGATTACACGGCAACCCATCGAGCCCATCCTGGTGGCGTAATATCGCGATAATAG